AACTTACTGCCTCCTACTGTGGTGGTTGAAACTTTGCTGCTGCATGGCACTGAACAGTCAGTCTATTTGTGGTCCTCATTGCTCTCTAAGAAAGAAATATTTGAGCACCTGGATGGATGCACAGGAACCCTGTATCTGTCCAATTACTTTCCATCATTACAGTTACCTATAGTCAGCCATAGTCTGATGATATTAAATGAAAAATTCCAGAAATAAGTTCTAAATTTTATCCACTTATTTATTGAGCTGGGAGATTCACTTTGTAGACCAGGCTGGACTTGAACTCACAGAGATCTGCCTGCCTCTGCCTGCAGAGTGCTGGGATTACAAGTGTGCACCACTAATTTGGCTTTTAAATTCTACGTTTTAAATAGTTTTTCTTGCAGTTGTAACTTTATTTTCTTTATTTTATTATTGTTCACCTCTTCTGTGGCCTACTTTATACATTAAACTTTAAGGTATGAGAAAACAAACCACATGTAGGGTTCAGAACTATCTGTGGTTTTAGACATTGATAGAGTACAGCTACAAGGCACTGTGTAACTGGGGCCACAGGACATGTCATCATCAGGAAGTACATGAACAAATTTGACACGACGTTTTACCAACTAAAACCCAGGGTCAGATATGACCTGTCCTGAGGGGCTCAGGGTCATCCTGTTGTGTAATTTCAGGGGCCACTGCAAAGAGACAGCATGCATGGTGCCCAACAGCCAGCACATCCTGTGGATGCTATGTTCTCAGAAGCCTCACCTCAGGTACATGCAAATGTCCCTAATATGCCACTGACTTGAAAGATCTGAGCCCCAGCACTGACAAGTGAAGGTGCAAACTAGGGAATTCTCAGTCTAGAAGGAGCCACGTGTGCTCACATGCACAGGTGCTAGGCAGTTGCAGGTGCTAGGAAGTTCCGGGAAGCCTGCACTCACAAGCAAGACTACATAGACTTGGAATTTAAAAACCATGCGTCCGTACGAACAAGGTCCATATGGGGGCTCCTCCAAGGGTGGCATTACATCCTGGGTGCAAGGACTGAGCTCTGAGCTAATGCGAATGGGATTGTTTCCTTAGATGAAGAATACAAACAGCTTCCTTTGCCCCCAACCTTTTCACTGTTAAGGAGGCAACTGAGGCCAGACTTCAAACTGTGAAACCCAAGTCAGGGAAGTGCGTTGTGTGACTCTAAGTCATTCAACCTCTCTGAGCCACGATTTCTTCATCCACCAAAGAATGACATCTTCATGCTTATTATCCCCCAGTGGTGTGTGTGAAACAACCCAGAGGTACATGTGACAGTCCATGCACAGCCTGGTGTCTGTAGTCACCTGTTGCTGTGTAACAACCCGGTAATTCACACTGGTACATGACTGTTATCCTGTGACTCAGCTGGCTTCAACAGCCTGACTTTAGGCTTTGGGTTTAGAGTTTGGCTCAGGTGTGTGTGTGCTCTGTGACCTCATTTTGGAACCTAGCCTGGAGGAGCAGCAGCTACCAGGCAAATTCTGTACATGGCAATGTCATCAGATACCAGAGTAAGGCCATCTCAATCAAGACCAAAGTAAAGGTCAGAGAAGTGAGTCCACCATGAGGCCACAGCAAGAGCAAGGATGGAGAGCAAAATTAGGATGAGGTGAAGAGGCAGGGTCACCAATTTAAGCTACTATGATATAAAACCAGAATATCCACCCCCACATAGACATTCATCTAATTATTCATGGGAAATCCAGGTCATGTTTAGCATATTCTTCTTCCAGAAGGCTATCCTAGGTAAGGTGGCATAAGCTAAGCACATTCAATAAAAATTAGATTACTGAGGGGCAGGGCAAGGAGGCATTACCAGGAAAGCCTGCCCATTCTGGTCCAACTGTAAAGATGGCCCATGACCCTGAACAGACAGCATCAAAGGAACAAGTGTTTCCCTAGTTACCTGGCCAAGTTACCTCCAAAATGTGATGTGTAAAGTCCACAAAGCATGACTTCCTTCTGAGAGGGGCCCTGAGTCCTGGGAGTGCACCAAGTACTTCATGATGCATGAAGAAGGGAGAGTTAAATCAGACTTAACAATGATGACTTGAATCCTGTGGGCAAAGGGGGCATCTAAGAAGTGTGTGGGCTAAGCTAACACTTGGTGGCTCATCAACTATTCTAGAGTTGTAAGTAATGAGACCGACAGGTTGGACTGATGATGGTGGGAATCTGAACTAGGTTAGCTTGGAGGTTTGGGGTGGGGTGGGCCCTCTCTTAGGTCTTAGGTCTTAGGTTTGTCCTGGATACCTCAGCTAAGATGGGACTTATTTTCCTCCTGAGCTGCCTGAGAAAGACAGTTCCCATGGCACTGACTGAAACAGAAGGCAGCAAAACTTGGAATCAGGGCCAAAGCAAGCCTGTGGTGGAACCCTTCTGTTACAAAGGCCTCTGCAAAGACATCTAGAAAATTCCACAGCAAATCTGTCAAATAAACAACTGTCGGTATCAGCAAAACAACAACAACAAAATGTGACCTCATACTATGTGCTTGGGAAATTCTGTCCCAGACTCTTTGGGCTGAGAAGTCACCTTAGGGGATCTCTATGTCATTGATGACAGCTCAGTGTCTACGTTATCTGTGGGTCCTGACTGAAAAAAAAAAAAGGAGAAAGTGAGCTCAGCACTAGCCTTCATTTCTCTCTTCCTGACTTCAGTTTTGAAGTGATCAGTTGCCACATGCCCTGCCATCATGATTTCCCTACCACGGAGGGTTGTACCTTCAAAACGTGAGCCAAATAAATTGCTTTGGTCAGATATTTGTCACAGTGATGAGAAAAGGAATGAGTCATAGTAGCTCAGAGAACTCAGTCCCTGAAGCTCACCCTGCTGAGTTCCACGGTATGTGATGGGTTTTACTTCAGTTTTGAAGGAGCTTTTGCAGGGTTCTAGGGTTACAAGCTCTTCCAACACAAAGACTCAGGGATGTGGTGGCATCTTCTCAATTGAAGTTCCTTCTTCCCAAAAGACCCTGGCTTGTGTCCAGTTGACAAAACACAGCCAGCAGATATGTGTGTGAAGCCGGACCCTCCCCTGAGAAACCTGCAGGATCTTAGCTTTTAATAGCTGACAAAGGGGTACGGCAGCCATCAGCATTTAGTTGGGTGGTTCAAGGACAGATAAGAACCAGCAACCAGGGCTGGAGGAAGGAAAAAAGGAAAAGTCCAGGTGAGTGGGAACTGCAGGCAGGGAGAGGGGTACACAAAGCCTCGTAGGGCTCAGTCAAGCTGTGGATGGAGGAGCCTAAGAACCAGTATGAACAGGTCTGGGGACTTGCAGCCTGGACTTCAGAGGGTGACCCCAGCACTCCATTTATTCTTTCAAGAAATGCTGTGAACTAGGAAGAAGGGCATCTACCTTGTGTCTGAGGGTCACGGAACTGGGTACTCAGGAGCCCTGGGACCAGAGGGGCCCAGCACTGCACAGGGAGACTGCTCTGCAGGTGTGCAAGAAGCATGGACCTGCTCACACAGGCCCCATTGTCACAGCCTCTCCTTCCTTCCTGTCAGTCAGTCAGCTTTTCAGTCCTGAACAAAGCTCTGAGAGCCAGTTTACACAGCGGAGCAGGCACTGGACTTCTGGAGACTCCTGACCTTTGGAGTCACACTGAAGCAGTGTGTCATGGGGCAGCGAAGGCTTACCTCAGGATGGCAGGAAAGATGAACCTGAGGATAGTGAGCTCTCACATTCCTAGCAAACACATGGCCCCCAGTAACCTGGAGCCCCTCCTGTAAGGTTCCATCTCTTAAAGGTCCCACTGTCAGCTGGTGGCACCACAGGCAGGGGACCAAGCTGTCAACTCACAAGTGTCCTCCAAACCAAAGCACCTCCATTTCTACCCACCCCCACTTCAGCTTGGTCCTGGGAGTGAAATTTAGGGCTTGGCACATGTTAGCAAGGACTATTCTGCTGAGCTATATGCTCCTCCTCCGCCTTCTATCTACAAATATTTTCTAGGAACATGTTGTGCAGCATGCTATGCTAAATTCTCTGTCATTGTCACAGGACACTGTCTGCTGTTCGTACAACTGATTGGAGAAACATATTGAACAAGTTGTACACATGTATATACTGCATAGTGACAATAACCACTAATGGCATTGACAATTTCTACCACAGGAGTACTTTCTCAGTATCTTGTCATTAACCTTTCACCAAACAGACCACAAAATCTCAAAACCAAACCAAATAGAAAACAAACCTAAGAAGGCATCGTTGGAAATACCGTTTGCAGACCAGAAAACTGAGGACCAGGTGATCAGGAGACTGACCAAAGTCACACAACACGTATAGGTGAAGCAAGACAGTCAACTTAGACTTGCCTGCTCCTGTCTCTGGATGCCCCTATTCAATGTCGCACCTTTGTGACTCACCTGTGTATAGAGCAGGAGTCAGGGGTAGAATGAGACCTCCAGGGTAGGGGCGGAGTGGGGAGTGGAGCTTAAGACCCAGTGCCATCAGCATTATCTAGGAGCGAGCAAAATGCTTCCCATCTCTCGGCCACCCCTACCCCAACCAGGCCTTTCAAAAGTTAGAGCTACCCATCCACCTCTGAGTAGAGATGGGAAACCTGAGGCCCAATCTTTGAAAGATGGATGGAGGACTCCACTGACATCTGCATCCAGAGGCCAGTGAGTGGGGTTGCAGGGCAACCCGTGTGCACTGAGCAAGCCAGGTGCATGTGCACAGTCAGGGGCTGAGTGCAAAGTGCTGGGCGCACAAGGCCGAGATGCTGAGCCAGGTGCTGGGTGTGCAAGGTCAAGTCACCAGACCTGCAGCATCCCTCCCACCCTGAGATTCAGGAGGGCCGGGAGGTGGCCTGGGTACCGTGGCCTGGGTACCGTGTCCCCATCCCGTGTGGCCAGGCCGGGCGGCTCCCTCGGCTCCACCCCCCGGCTCCCCCGCCCGCCGCCGCTCGAGCCTCTCAAAAGCCCGGGCGCCCGGGGCGGAGGCGCAGAGCCGGGGCCGGCGCACGAGGCGGCAGGGCGGCCATGACTGCGGAGCAGGCGCTGCCCCTGGGCAACGGGAAGGCGGCCGAAGAGGCGCGGGGGTCCGAGGCACTGGGTGGCGGCGGCGGGGGCGCGGCGGGGACGCGCGAGGCGCGCGACAAGGCTGTCCACGAGCGCGGCCACTGGAACAACAAGGTGGAGTTCGTGCTGAGCGTAGCGGGCGAGATCATCGGGCTAGGCAACGTGTGGCGCTTCCCCTACCTGTGCTACAAAAACGGTGGAGGTGAGCATGGCCGGGACGCGGGGCGACACCTAGGTAAGGGATACCCCTTGTGCACGGCCCCGATTTCCCCTCCCAATCCTCCGAGAGCTGAGGGGCTGCGCGGGGGCCCACCTGTTCCTCTGCGCCTGCGTGAATGGATCCACTTCGCACCTGAGCGCGCCACCACCTGCCACCTGGCCCAGAGCAGCGTCTGTCACCTGCATGAGGGACAGACATGGCCCAGGAGCTCTGCTTTCAGGCAACTGGCTGGCGTGTTTTAGGCAGAAGTCCTTTAATTTAGCCTACGAGGCTCAGCTGTCCTCACTGGAAAAGACTGATATGAGCAGTCTTTTGGAGAGGTTACTGAAATGCCAGGAGCAGGAGCCCAGCTTTAGCTGTGTCTTCCTACTTTTTTTTTTTTGACTCACAGTTGCCTTGGAAAGCAGTGCTTTCACTGATCTCAAAGATGATGAGGCTAAGGGTCCAAGAGGCACTCTGACTTACTACTGCCGACAGGTGGGATCCTAACCCGAAAGGCCTTGTTTTCCTGCAGAGTTGAGCTGATTCCGGGAACAACTTTTGGAAAGGCTTTGCTGTATGCCCTTCTCTGTGGTCTTTTAAATTTGCTCTTCAGGCCATTTCTAGGGAAAGTATTTTAGGCCTCTCTGGAGGAAAAACTGGCACCAAGCAGTTTCTTTTACTGGGCTCAGACTCACCCACAACAATTGCAGCCACGCTTGTTCGGTATGTATAAGACGCTTAGATATTGGGGAAGGATACCAGAGCCCGTTCCAGGGGTGGCATCTCAGAGTGCCACTGGGGGGGGGGTGGATGCTGTGGTCCCTAGCACTCCCAGCTGAGAGCAGGGCTCAGACGACCCCCCCCCCACTTCCACATATTGCGTTTGGATGGTAGAGTAGCAAGGGATCCCATTAAAACCTTCTGTGGTGGCACAGTTCCTCTCCGAAAAGGCCTGTCTTGGCATGTCCTCATCCCTCTGTGGTACCCCGATCTTCAAGAAAATCTTCAAACCCTAAAAAGTTAGTGAAGAAGTTGACTGGCACCGACAATGCAGGGCTTCCTGTGCAAACAGCTAGGGAACCCGCGAACCACGCTTCCTGGCCCAGGCCCTCTTTTTGCGGTCATTCACCCCAAAGCACAGGCTGCTGCTCTAGGCCTGCCCCGCACTGGTAATGGAGTGGCCAACAGTGCCCGTGGCTTGCAAGGGAGACAGCAGGCCCAGACTTGGAGACCCAAAATGTACCCTGAGCCCTCAGGCAGGCCCTGTCTCACTTTGCAGACTGAGCCTTTAGGAGCCACCGAGTCCACTGAAAAAGCTATGGAAGTCCTTTAGGGTATTATGAGGCAGAAACTATTAACATCTTCATTTGTGTAGGAAATGTTAGGCCCAAACAAGAAGCGTTCTGAAAGTCAAAATGGAGATAAATTGGGTTAATCACAAATTCTGCTACGAATTGTTTTTTAAGGTTGTAGTGAGTAAAGTTGAAAAATGACTCATTGTTGGGCTTTTTCTCTTTTTTCCTCTCTTTGATTTGCCAAGAGCCTCCATCCGCGCAGACACCCCGGTTTGGTTGTTGGTTATTTTAAGAATGACAGTGCTAGCTAGCTCTGTGAGTACACAGGCCAGCTGGCTTTCACCCAGTGTCATCTGTTGAGTTCTTGGAGGCTCTCAGGTGAATTACAGGGTCTTAAGAGAACCACTTCAGCTTTTTAATCAAATAGATTTGGACTCAGGCCTCAGATACCATTTACCATTACACAAGTTCTTGCCTTCAATCTAGCTGGGCTGTGGTTTCCTTTCAAAACAATGTGTTCACAGGCTGGACTTGCAGATCCTCACAGTAGTTGAAAGTATCTCGTCCACAGGGTAAAAATCTTAAATTAGTCCCTTGCCCAGAAAAGGCTAAGCCCCTTTCAAAGCCTAGTAGATTGATCCAACTATCAGGATTAATCAAGGTTGTTGCTATTAATCCAGTGGTTAAAGAGACTTCATTTAGCAAAAGCAATTTCAGGCAAAGCCTCCATTCATGACATCAGATGAAGAATACTGTGCTTCCATGCGTTGTTATTAGATGGGAGAAATAAATGGGGGATTTGGAGGGGGAGGTTGTCTCCATCTGTGCCTAGGAGCCCATGCTCACTTCATTGGGTTCACTTATTTTGCAGAAAGGCCCAGGCCATGGCTATTGTATTTAGAGTGGTCCTTACCCAGGCTAACCCTAAACCAGTTTTGCAGGGGAATCCGTGCTACAAATTCCTTAGGACTCCGCTCCATACTGGGATCATATGTGTGTGTGTGGGGGGGTGTTTAACCCTTTGAAGCCTGGTGCTTCTCATTATATGATTCCCTGAGAAGTTTTTTTTATGAGAAAAATCTTTTAGAGGGCTCTATAATAAAATAATAAGGGTGGTAGAGTTAAAAAGGGAACAGCACATATGATGGAAATGAACTTAATCTATGCTGGAGGAAGGAACTGGTGGGGTGGGGGCTGGAGACTTGGTTCAGCTCAGTGCTTTTTCTTCGTGCATGAAGGTTGGGTTGGAATCTCCAGCACCCATATAAACAACGACGTATGGTAGTGCATATCTGTCATTCTAGCACTGGGGAGGTGGAGACAGGAGGGTACCTGGAGCTCACTGGCCAGCCAGTCTAGCTGAATCAGTGAGCCCCAGGCTCAGTGAGAGACTCTGTATCAAAAATGGGGTCAAGGTTATAGAGGAAGACACTTGACAATGACCTCTGGCTTCTGTATACATGTGCACAAATACATATGTATATACACACTCACAGAAAGTAAAATCACACACACAAAAAGAATTAATCAAACAAAGAAAATTTTTTAACATTCCCATTTTTGTCATGCAACCATCCTGAGAAATGATCAGTGGCAGATATCACTAAGGCCCATTTTACAGCTGGAGAAGTGGAGGTTCAGAGATGTGAGGGAGAGTTGCTTAAGGTAAAAGGTGGCAGAGGGCACAAAGCCCCCTTCCGTGTTTTCTGGCTGCAGCCGTCCCAGCCAGATTGGATTTCCAGCTGGAAGAACACGGGGTGCTGCCCTGTGGTAGATGCCCACTGAAGAGCACTGGTGCTGATTGGGAAACAGCAGGGCCGTTTCCATGTCATCCCTCTGTACAGGGGCGTTCCTGATACCCTATGTGGTGTTTTTCATCTGCTGTGGAATCCCTGTCTTCTTCCTGGAAACAGCTCTGGGGCAGTTCACAAGTGAAGGTGGCATTACCTGCTGGAGGAGAGTCTGCCCTTTGTTTGAAGGTAAGTGTTGATTTCGTGAGCAAAGAAAACTTGGCCTCACTGATGACAAGTTTCCAGCAGCCACCAGAGGCTGTTTAAAAGGACAGAGACCCCAGCTGCTCTTTTCCCTTGGTCCTCACAGGCATTGGCTACGCAACACAGGTGATCGAGGCTCACCTCAATGTCTATTACATCATCATCCTGGCATGGGCCATCTTCTACCTAAGCAATTGCTTCACCACCGAGCTCCCCTGGGCCACCTGTGGGCATGAGTGGAACACAGGTATGGTCTCCAGGCTGGGTCTCTCCTGGTCCTGTGGAGGGATTTGGGGTTGGTGGTACATCCCAAGCCTCTAGGCTCTTGTCACAAGTTCTGTTTCCTGGGACTGACCTCTGGAACAGTGGTCACCTGACCAGGGTATATTCAGCAGTTACTGGTGATGTTGATCCCTATAGACAGAGTTAGAGTGTGGCCAAGCTCCAGGGTGCAACATGGGGATCAGGAGTCCCTCTCCAGCCCTGCCTCTCTGAGTGTTTTTTTTTCCATAAGATGAAGGAGTTAGACTAAATTAAGGGCAGTTAAAATGATTGCATTTATGGTAATGAACACAAACTAGAAAATGCATTTGGTTGCCAGAATTTGAAAGTCGGAAGACATTGTGTAGAAACCTGATTTTCAGTTTCTCTCTTTTTAAAGATTTACTGAATTTTATTTTATGCATATGAGTGTGTGTCTGCTTGTATGTGTGTAACCATAGGCATGCAGTGCCTGTGGAGGCTAGAAGGGGGTGTCAGAGCCACTGGAACTGGAGTTACAGATGCTTATGAACCCTCTGTGGATGCTAGGAATTGAACCCAAGTCCTATGGAAGAGCAGCCAGTGCTCCTAACTGCTGAGCCAACTCTTCAGCCACCCAACTTCTCTTAAAGAATTAAGTCTCTGGCAACCTACCTACTTGACAGTAGCAGTCACAACCATCTGGGGAGCAGTTGTTACTTATGGATGACATAGTTGCCATCACGACATCCAAGTTACTGGTTTGCTTTACCAGTAAAACATCTGAAGGAAGCAACTCCCACACACAGTTGGGAGTCTGGGAGGTCACCTTTGCTTTTGATACACTGTTTGCTTTTAATCTTTCATCCTATTAGAACTTCTTTGGCTCAGGATGAACCTGGAGTTTCTGGTCCTCTTGCCTCCACTGCCCAGGTACTGCGAGTACGGATGCACCCAGGGAGGCTTTAACTGGTGTTATGTGTGATCTTAGACAAAAGGCCAAGAAGAAATTGACTTACTACAATGAATTTTGTTTATCTAGCTCTGAGAGTCGTATGCCAGTTTATAACCATTGTTTATTTACACATAATCTATTTCAAAACAAATGACACATTAGTTTTTATTGTCTGAGGAAGTATATGGTATGTGTGTAGGGGTCAATGTTTGTGTCTGTCTGTCTGTCTGTCTACTTTGTTTTATTCTGCTCTGGCCTCAAACACACAGAGGTCCTTCAGCTGAATCTTCAGGAACAAATCACCATACCCAGTTTCTTTTTACTCTTAGGAAAACTATTTAGGAAACATCATTTTAAAGTCCAGTACAAGCCACCAACACTGCCATTGCAGAAACAGGCAGGGGTATATCCAGTCAATTTGCTGGCAATGTAGGGTTCTAGACACCACTCTGGACTCCCTGGGATGCCCAGACCTACCTGCTTTCAGCATAAGCTAGCACTAGCCAAGAGGAGTGAGAATGAAGCAGACAGCCAGGCCATTTATCCCCAGTGGAGCACAGTTTCTCCAAAGCCAGTGACATGAACACCTGCAGCACCTCAGATGCCCCTGCCCTTATGGCAGATATAACTGGGTTTTCTCTGTGAGAACCCAGATGTTGCAGCACCCACCCTCACTGGCTCCTGAGCTGAATGAATTCCTGGGTCCTAAATGAGCTGATGCAGGAAGCTCTGCCCCAGGGAGCCTACAGGCCAGTGGTCCAGGCAGCTGTGTCCACAGATGCGGGGTCTGCAGTAGCCAAGAGGTTCCAAATCAACCACAACCATCAGTGGAGTCCTGAGTGGACTTGTTCTTGGTTCTGTCTTTAGTGGTTTGCAGACTTTACAGAATGGGGAAGGGAGAGGGTTACATGGGGGCCTCAGATATTCATTGAATTCTTTTTCTTAATAGTCAAGAGTTAGAGAAGGTGATTCCTTGGAGGGTGTTGGGGTTCTTATTTACTTAGAATTCAGGAAAGGGACGTCAGGGGAGGCTTCCTGGAGGAGGAGGAGGAGGAGGAGGAGGAGGAGGAGGAGGAGGAGGAGGAGGAGGAGGAGAAAGAGAAGGAAGAGAAAGAAGAGGAGAAAGAAGAAGAGGAGGAAGAGGAGGAGGAGGAGGAAATAGCTCAAATTGCTCTGGATCTGGACATAGGATGCTTCTGCTGCAGACCTTTGGTGATCAAATTTTTTAGAAGAGTTGGTCAGCACATAACTTTTTGACTCCTTGGAGTGAGTGAAGGAACCAAAGGCCTCCTCAGTGTGTTCATCCAGCCCTTAGTCCTTCGCAGGACCCAATGGGAATCCCAACTCCATCAGAGCCACCAGGGGTGACTGGCCTGTTATGTTTGTTCCAGGGAGGGCCACTGGGCAGCAGAGACCATGGCCATAGACAGGGCTAAGCAGAGAAAGAGAAGAAAGACTAGAAGATGGCGCGGGCGTGAGGCCAGGGCAGTATGAGGTCAGGTTCTGGGAAGAAACAGAGTCCAGCCCTGCTGCTACCATTTCCTCCTGTTAGAGCCAGGCCAGGTCACCAAGGAAACTTGTCAAAGCTTGGATTCTCCTGTGCTCTGACCCCTGTTTACCAACATCACCTGCCTATGCATTAGCTCCTGGGCCTCACTGGGTTCAACCCCATGAAGCTTAATTTCCTCCTGTGTTTTGTCTTCTTCTCACTCAGAGAAATGTGTGGAGTTCCAGAAGCTGAATGTCAGCAACTACAGTCACGTGTCCCTGCAGAATGCCACCTCCCCGGTCATGGAATTCTGGGAGTAAGTGAAGGATCAGCTGGCCTTGTTCTCGTCCCTGTCCCTCTATCTTTCCCACCTTCTACACCCTCCTGGAAAAGTCTAACCCAACTCTTTCCACTCCATCTCCTTGGCTCCTGTGGCCATCTGATGGCTGTAGAAGCAAGCATATGTGGGGTTCTTGCAGGCGTCCCATAGGAACAGCTGAGAGGAGCTCATTCTGGTTCTCTGAAGACATGCCAGCATGAGTAGTGCTTATCAGGGTGGGAAGTGCTTGGTAAAAGGACAGTTTAAAAATTCATTCTGAACAGCGGAGAAGCTAGTGCTCACTTGCCGTAAGCAAAGCCAGGAGTATATTTAGCCTTAGAAAGCTGAAGTCTAGGGGGGTAGGAGTGGGGACTATCTTGCTTTCGATACTTGAAGCAGTGTGTGGAAAAGTAGATTCACTTTAATGAAGAAGGGTGTGGAGGGGCAGGTTTCAAATGTATTTAAGAAGGATGTGAGATCGAAAGGACCCGGAAGGTTGTGAGTACCCCTTATCCCAGAAGCTGGCACAATTTTATCCGGGATCTAAAGCATTGTGAGCCTCACAGGGCTGAGGGAAGCAGTTGTGTAAGTTGTATGCATACCTGGGGAGTCATTCTGAGATGCCTTGTGACGTGTGCACTGTGGAAGTGCGTGGTGCACAACCTGCAGGATGTGTACAGTCACCCTGACTTCTGCCGCATAGGTGGTTTCTGTTGAAAGCTTAGCCAAATGCTCCCTGAGGTTTCTCAGTCTGCCAAGACCTGAATTCATGATCAAAGTCTCCCCTACTTTAAGGTTAATTAATAATAGTAATATATGGGGATGAGTGGTGGGTTTATGAGTGATTTTAATTTGTTTTCCAGATACCATTTGTTTCCTTCCCTCTAGAAGCTGGCTGAATTTAGATTCATAATCCACCTGTCTGTCTTTGAATTTGTTCTGTTTACATACGTGCCTGGAATAGAACAGAGGCCCCTTACTTTTTGTAAACATTTCCAGGACTAGAATCCAAGCCTTACATTTTGTTTTTACTTCATTTCTTTTCTCAGCAGTGGTTCTAAGATGAGTCTACATTGGTAAACTGGTTCTGGCTTCTTTACACACACACCCTTAATGGTGTTGCACTGTGTGAATGGTTACCTTGTATTAAAAAGTCTTCTAGACTGTTGCCCATTGTCAAAGTGGTTGAGTTACCTGTGCTTTCTTGACTATTTCTCGTCTTTAAGCCCATCTTAGTCTTTCCCATACTTGTAGAGTTTGGAAGTCCAGGGTGGAGAGACTGGTGCTTGGCAAGAGTTGGCTGCTGCAGTATCCCGTGGCGGAAGGCAGAAGGGCAAGAGTATCAAAGAGTCCAAATCCAGATTTTCCTTAGGAATCTCTGTTGGGCCCATGGTAACAATTCAAATCCATTCCCATAAGCCACCTTTCAATGCTATTGCATTGGGGTTTCACTCTCCAACCCATACTGCAAGGGAATACATCCAAATCACGAGTAAGGGTGTAACTGCTAGGTTGTGGGCCATGCGTGACATCCGTTTTTACCACATAATGTAGAGATTGCACTCATGTGCATCCTAAATATCAGCTTGTAGAAATTTCTACTGCTCTACTTTTTCACCCTAGGGATGCTTATTTTTTGTAAAGATTATTTTATTTTGTGTGTGGGTACTGTACCTCCTTGTGTGTCTGTGCACCACATGCATATAGTGCCTACAGAGGCCAGAAGAGGGCACCAGATCCCCTGGAGCTGAAGTTACAGATTATTGTGAGCTGCCATGTGGGTCCTGGGAATCAAACCCAGGTTCTCTACAAGAGCAAAATGTGCTTTTAACCCCTGAGTCATCTCTCCAACCCCTAGTGAGTGATCCACTTTCTGTATAGCACTTGATCTGAACAAGTGGTTTTTGTTTACTTCATTTTGTTTTCTCCAATCTGGGTTTTGCCATGTAACCCTGGTTGGCCTGAAGCTTGCTCCGTAGACCTTGCTGAACTTGAACTTGTAGCAATGTTCCTGCCTCTGCCTCTGCAGTCAAGTTTTATTTCTCCTGGGTAATGAGTGTGAAATGACATTTCACTATTTTAAACTTGCATGTATTTCTTTAGTTACTGGTGAGGTGAGCCTTTTTTCATAATTCTGATGCATCATCCATAAACTCCAGACTCCTGCTTTTCTCTGGATTTTGTTTCCTTATGGACAAATATTCTTTGTACTTTAAAAAATACGATTTTATTTGCTGTAGGATATTTTCTCAGTGTGTGGGTTTTCTTTCTTATGGTGTACAGAATTTTCCACTTCACTGACATTGTATGTGCCAGTTTCTCCTTCTGGGGCTCACATAGTTGGTCTCTTATTTAGGATGACTTTCCTTCCCCAAAGTTGAACAGTTTCTGTATTTCTCCCAAGATTTTAAAGTTTTGATTTTCTTGCACTTAGGGGTGCCATGTGTGATTTAAGGTGGAAATGTAGCTTTTGCTTTTTATGTGAACCCTGGATTTCTTCAGCACTTATCCGTTCCTCATCCCTTCTCAGCCAGTTTGCGGTGTCTTCTTGACTAGACAGGATTTTCCTAAAATCTGGTCTGTTTTGGTGTTCTTTTCCCATCTAGTTGATCTTTTTGACTCTGTATAGATGTCGCCCCAGTATTGTTGTTATGACCCTTGACTTGGTCATGTTTTCTCCATTTCCAAAATGTTCTTACTGTTCCAAATGAATTTTACAACCAGCTTGCTTAGCCTAAGCAACAAGAAATAAATGAAAACAACTTAGTGGGGATCGGGTGAAAGTCTGTTGACCTGTTAGCTTACTTTGAAGAAAATTGCCTCTCTTGTATTGAGCTTTCAGTCTACGAACACGCTTCCGCCAGCTCTTCATTTGTCTGGGTTTCTTAAATGCCTTCCGATTGTGCCTTTTGGAGCAATTAGCATCTGAATCAATGACATCTGCCTAGTCAGTCACAGTCTCAAAAAGGACCTTCTGGGAAGTAGGAAGAAGGAGGCTTCAGTTCTGGGTGGGACAGCAGGGTTTTCCCAAACCACAGTGGGCTGGGGTTCCCTGAACACAGTTAAAGGCCTATGAAGAAATATCTGTGTAAGGTCATTCCTTTTGTAACTTATGCATAATCGTTAGTTTTGTTTTAAGTTTTCCTTGTATTATTATTCATTTTTATGGGGATACATGCATGCCACAGTGCATGTGTGGAGGTCAGAGGACAGCTTTTGGCGATTTGTTCTCTCTTTCTACCATGTTGTGGGTCTTATAGATTGAATTCATGTCTTCAGGCTTGGTGGCAGGTTCCTTTACACAGGGAGCCACCTTGCCAGCCCGAGTCGCTGGGTGTGCCAAGTGTTTGCCCACAGCCCGTGTGTCTCGGTCAGCGTGTCTATTGCGAGGCTTGGGAAGGCTGTCAGTGAGTACTGAGAGGAGGAGTGGATGGAGGAGGAAGGCTGGCAGCCTGGAAAACCCCACATGAGAAGAGCCAGGAGGTCCCGGATGAGCCCACCCTTCACTGAGCCTCCCACCCATGAGCACCCATCACTTCCAGCACCACTGCACAGTATCTTCACTGCGCATCAGAACACCGACCTTTTCCAGCTGCCTGGTCACTCCAGCCCCTCTTCAGTGGGTCTGCATTATCTCTGCAGCCTTGGTTACTGTGCCCTGACAGTGCTTCCTCGGGTGCCTCTGGTCATGCTCTAACAATTCGTCTTCTCAGAGACGAGAGCTTGGAGCATACAGAGACCAGGTAAGGGTCCACACCAGCCTGTGAAGATCTTAGAAAACCCGGAAACTTGAGGAGAACTGACAGCTGTGCCATCTGATGGGATCATCCATGTACCTTTGATCAACCCAGATTCAATCATCTTGTATTCACTGGGATCATTTAGACTCACCTCTCCAGTGTGCCTTCCTATCATCAACATTCCACCAAACCTATGCTGGGGAATGCTCTACTGGGACATGGTTCTTTCTTGCTTTGAGCTGATAGCTGATCCTGGGGCCCTGGGAAGAACCTTCTGGTTCTCCACCTGGCAGTCCTTGTATATTGGGCCAGTTTCCCCAGAGCTGTCCATCACCATGCTTTCTGGCCTCTTTCTTTTGCGACTTGTTCGGTTTCCGCATTTGTACTCGGCTCCCAGTGTGTCCCTGTTCTGCACACCAGGGCCATCAGGCTTGGTCAAAGCATTGGCTTGGGCTGCCTGCTGGTTCATTCATTCTACAAACGCCTGTATTTGAGGGAGACGGAGATGACACATGCCAGTCTCTAATACACAATGAAAGAAACCCATAAATGACCATTCACCACAAGTAGCTGCTTCCCTGCCCACAACTGGTATGGCGTCATATTGCTGAGGGCACCCAGTCCTACCCCCATCAAAGGCATTTTAAATTTTCCTTTTACTTTTCAGAATGTATCTGAAACATCTCACTCAGCCAACAAGACAAGCCAGACCCTGCATCTGTCCTGGTTCTGACTCTGGCAGGGGCTTGTAGGGTGGGACAGCTTGTCTTTCTAATGTCACATTTCAAAATCGGGCCACGGTGGTTTCCCTTAGTAACCATTATGCATTGAGTCCATGTGCTTATCTAAATATGTCTGCGTTTCTAAATCTTGAGGCTGTATTTGCTGCTGGGACTGAGCTTGACAACATTAGATAGGCCTTGTGTTCACTTCTCTTTCTCAACCCCCTCCTTCTCCGCAGTCCCTGGGTTTTATGAGCAACCTCAGACTCACTCACCTTGGGTACAAGTACAGTCACTGCGCAGGAGCCCATGTGAGGAACTGTGCTAGCACATGCTACGTGCTGGGCTAGGGTTAGACTCAGGGTTTTCAGCTCTTTCTTTATCAGGACCCAGCCTTGTCTTTCTGGATTATCTTCACTGCAGGTGTGTTTCCTTTGTATTTTGAAAAGCCCCACAGATATCTTAATTCTTCATCTTTGGGCAGATATCAAGTCTCAGAGAAACAAAACCTGTTCTCTCTGTGAGACTGGGTGTC